AAAGCTGTATTTTAATCTTTAAGCTAATTTTGCTCCTTTCCTGATTCTTCTCGTATACTTTGCAGTTTGTGTTACTTTATTTGAGCCATGGCAAGTCTAGGATAGTCACTTGAAATTTGAGCCCAAGGTGTCCTTTGTCAGACTGATACGGAGCTGGCAGAGCCTTGGCCACAAGCAATGACACTGGGAAGGATCACCCTGGAAATTCACATAAGCAGGTGATATCCTCAATGTGATCTTTGTGCTGCTTGGGGTTGGGAGTCACCCATTGCTCACTCAGACAGTCTTTCTTGGCTTAAAGAGCCAGGCTGTTAGGGCTAGTTCAGGTCTCCCAGCTTGAGAGCTGCTTCCTCTCTTCACCATGCCTCTCCTATGTGGTCCATGCTGGACAGTCAGGTTGTGACTTCAGGGGGAGGTAGGAGGTGGGGACAAGTATATGGTTCATTGGACTGGTTGCACAGAGACTCTCAAATTCCGAAGATTTTCTTCTAACCATCACTGATCATCCAACATTATTCATTAATCATTCACTTATTGAATCCATTCATATTCAACAAATATTTATTCTAAGGGGATTATGTGCCAGGTACCCTAAGAACTGGGTGACCAAAATAGGTAAAGCCTCACTCACATAGAGGCTTCAGTATAGAGGGGGGGAGGACGGCACTGAAGCCACACACAAAGAAGCAAGGCAGTTCCAGAAAGGACGTGTTCGGAAGAAAACAAGACGCTGGGATGGCAAGTGACCGGGTGGGTAGGATGGAGGCACATGTTTCAGATGTGTTAGTCTTGCCGAGAAGATGACTTGAATGTTGAAAAGAAAGTCTTGTCAGGTTCTGAAGGAGGCACATTTCAGGTAGACAGGAGCAAAAGCCAAGGTCCTGGTAAAGAAATGAACTTGATGGGTCTGAGGAAGGAAACCAGGGTGGATAGACAACGATGAAATGACAGAGAGGGGCATGATGATATCAGAGAGCTGGGAGGAAAGAAGAATCTGTGAAGCCTGCAGATCCTGGTATTTTCTCGACAATTTACACCAAGTAGATCACCAGTCTTTTTGGCTATTGGACTGGAATAGCCATGGAAATACAGGCTCTATGTCCATGAGAATGTCATGTGTTGTATTTGCTGCTGTAGTTTCAGCATCCTGCATGTTGCCTGGCACATGATGGGAGCTCTGCACGTGTCTGCCAATGAATGAAGGATGGAAAAGCTAAAATCGTATTTTATGGAGCTCACCTCTGATCCTGATGTGCTGGGACCCTCAGAAAGGAAGAAAGTTTACAGATATACCTGCCATTCCTTCCAGGGGGCCCATGAATATGAGGGCATACAAGAGAATGGGTTTTGAAGCCTATTTGACTCTAAGTCATTCAGATTTTCACTTGAGCATTACTTCAGTCCCCCACATTTGTAAATTTTGGACACTTTATCTTGAGGGTTTGCGTGGAAACCTGAAAAAAAAAATCCTTCTTTGCCTTGCACCTGTTACTTTTCCTTTTTAGAAGCAGCTTTGAGGTGATGAGAATACTTATTTTTCTATAGCACACTTTTGTTAGAAAATGCTCCTAAACTACATGGAAAGCTTGGAAAAGAGGTGCTAGATAAATACATGTGAGTCACAGAAGATGAAATTAACAGCAACAGGGACTTCCTGTGTGAAAACAAAAACAAAAGCATCCTTTCAAAATTCAAAAATTCAGTATATGAGGTTAACAAGAGCAATAGTTTCATTGCTATTATCCAATACAGATTTTTTGTCTACCTGGCCATTCCCAGATTTTGGAGAGCCGAGATGGCAAGCCAAGTTATCCCACCGCTCTCAATTTCATTCCTGACTTGCTTAATTGCTAATAACATACTTTGTGAAGGAAGAGTAAGCCGTTATCTCCTCAAACTGTCATATAAAGGCAGAAAATGGGGATACAGGGTTCTTCACTCTTCATTTCTGTCCCTTGATTCTTTTATCCAATCTAAAATTAAATACTCGTTTATAAGAGTGGGAGAAAGTATAATGTAAAGTATAGCTTGAGTTTTCTTTACTAAGACACCCAAGAAACGGATGGTAACACAACATATCAATGAATGTTGACATGGAGTTGGTTTGTATTAAAAGTTCGTCAGTTTATTATGTAGGAACATATCTTTATTCAGTCCATACACAGTTCTTATCAGGCACTTTGCTATATTGGGGATACAGTGATGAATCAAACTTCCTACTCCTCCTGATGAACTCACAGGCAGTTAGGAGTTATTTATTAAAAGGATCCTTTAAATGAAGTTTTCTCTTATAAAAGGGTTTCACAGACTGGACACCAAGAAAGTATAGTATTATAATAGGAATAAGTGGTTTTGGATTCTTTGATGTTAAAAAGAAGAACATGTTTCTCTGCTCCTTCTCCATGGTAAATTGAATCCAGCACTCAGCAATATATTCTTTGGAGTAGGTTTAAAATGGATTCACTGTCTGGCTTCAAACCATATTAATATTGCAGCCTTAGAAAAGTTACTTAATCTTTCTGAACCACGATTTTCTTGTATGAATAATGTCGATCATAAAGTTTATCTACCTTGCAAACTTTTATGAGGGTGAAAGCTAAGTCTAATTTTCCATACCCACCATGCAGTAGATTCTCAGTTAAATGCTAGCTAACATCAGCATCAGCATCATTCTGTTACATTTTAAAATATTATTTACTCCCTAGCTTTTTAAAGCAAATCTTTAGGTAATTTAATTTACCTAAATTCTTTTCTTTTTAATTTATTCTAGAATCTACATTGGGAAAAGATTGTAGTTGTAAAAAAAAAATCAGTAATTTTAATCATACTACTAACATACACGTTATAGCCATGGCATTTTTTAGTTGTATTCCAAATTATGACTCAGAGTTCATAAAAATTGGTGACCATGATTACATCAATCAATAGTCAAAGAGAAAACCTCTTACCACTCGAAATTTTATCAAAAAAGGAGTTCATAGTCTATTTCTGCCTTACTCAAATGCAAACCTTGCATGTTTTATGGCTTGTAGGTCATGTCTCCACAAGATAACCAGCATAAAAGTAGCTGGATATTGTGTGGGGGTTCCCGAACCTGGGTATGCACTTGACTCACTTGGGGAGTTTTTCTTTTGAAATGCATACATATAGCTCCAACCCCAGACTTTCTACATCAGAATTTTTATGACTGGGCTCCAAAATCTTTACGTTTCAAAGCTCCCCAACTTGATTCTTCAGGTAGATAGACTTTAACATGATCCCTAATTATCCCCTGCTCCTTGTGTTTAGGCCTTGTATAATCCCCTTCCCTGGGGTATGGGTAGGTACTGTGACTTGATTCTAACCATCAGAGGGCACCAAAGGTGATGGGATATAACCTTTATGGTTATCTTACCTAGGATTATAACTTCTGCTTTGGATACTAATCTCTCTCCCTTGCTGTTTTGATGAAACAAGCTGCCTATGGAGAGGTCCACAAGGCCTCTGGCCAACAGCCAGTAATGTTGAGGTCTTGAGTCCAAAAAACCACAAGGAACTAAATCCTAACAATCATGTGAGCTTGGAAGCTGACCTATCTCCTGCTGAGCCTCCAGATGAGGACACACCCCTGGCCAACATCTTGATAGTAACTTTATGGGGAATCCAGCTAATCCATGCCCAGACTTCTGACCCACAAAAACTGGGAGATAATAAATGTGTGTTGCTCTAAATAGCTAAGCTGATGGTAATATTGTTATGCAGCAGTGGATAACTAATAGAGTTCTGAAATGTAGTTAGTGTACACAATCAGTGATATCAAGCATAGTTAAGAGCAGATATAAGCTTGTTGTGTTTCTCCACTAATTTTTAATTTTTATTACTTAATACTGTTGGTGATGATGATGATTTATGATGATGATGGATTTTTATAAATATCCTTGGGGGTTTCCTTGGGGATTGGCAGTTGCATAACTCACTGATTTAATTTCTGGACTCAATGGCCAAATCTACATGGAAAAGCCATAACTGAACTAAGACCTAAAATTTGAGTAGATTTTACTCAACCTCTCCCATGAACATGGATGGGGCTATTCTTTTGGAATCGGGCAAATCCCAAAAGCCTATTGATAAAATAAAACTAAATTTCTCCTTTGTGTTCAGGAACCTCCAAATCCTATGAATTTGACTAGTGAAACAAATCATTGGATGGCAGGGAGTCTCCAGAGCTTTCCCACACTTGATATTTCTTCTTAAAAAAGGAATCTTAATATCATTAAAGAAAATTCAATCACGTGGAAGCCGGAAACCATACTTGATTATTAATATTTAGTATCATGATTGTATTAAGAAAACTAAGTTGTATTGATTTGATTTAAACATCTTAAAGTTCGTACTAAATATCACTTGACTCATACAGAGTTTTTCAAGTCCTCACATTTTCCTTCTCATTCTCATTTTGGAAATAAAGAGTCAGATTCAACGGGGTTAAAATTGCTTCCATTAGACTAACAAATAGCTCAGAAGCAAGATAAGGAGGCAGTTCCATTGTTTCCCACCCAGGGCTCTCTCCACTGGATGGTCTCTGCCTTTGTTTCATCACAGCGTTAAGTAGGCTCCTTATTGCTTGGCATGTAACAAATTACAAAATATAACTCACGATAAATGTATGATATAATTTTGTGTATTTTAGATACTAAAAGTATTCATAAAGTTGTTATTAGAATATTTTGTAAAAACTGGGGATCCTGGCTGGCTCAGTCAGCAGAGCATGTGACTCTTGATTTCAGGGTTGTGAGTTTGAGCCTCACACTGGGTGTAGAGAGTACTTAAAAATTTTTTAACATCTTCAAAAAAAATATTGTGTAAAACCTAAGGACGATATAAATGTGTGTGAATGGGAAGAGCTTATTGTTTGACTTCCGTTCAGCATTATTTACAAATGACAGTACATTTTCTTGAGCAGCTAGAAAGCAATACAAGTTTTGCTATCAATAGTCTTCGAGCTCCCTGACTCAGTGTAGCTGAAAAATGAGGTCTACGAAAGTTTCCAAAGCCCTGAACGATGTTAGAGTCTGGCCCTTTTATGATCAAGTGATCTTTTCAGTTTTAATGGGAAAAAATAAATCATTGTTAAAAGATAATCTTGTCACATGGAAGCCAGAAAGGTGCAATATCAATGATTCGACTTACCAAAAAACCGCCCCGCGGAATGGGATAAAGCAAATAACAGTTTGTTTTGTTGTTGCTGTTGTTGGCAGTCCCAGCAAAGTAGGCTTAAAGAAATACATTGTTTTAAAAATAATAAGAGGGCAATACAAATGCCCTTAATAGAAAAGTGAATGGACTTGATACAGGGCTATTTTATAAGAACAAAACTGCCAATTGTTCACATTCTTCCTCTCTTTCCTCTTTTATTCAATTTTTGATGCTGCAAATAATATGAAAATCCTGGGCGTAGCTCTAAAGTTAATGCTTTGCTTGGCATTGTGGTACAAATCTATATAAAAGTAGTTTAGATATAGTTGGTAACACGAAATTGTTTCTCTAATAGTTTGTTTTCAATGGAGCTTATTCTTAGCATGTTCAAAATAAGCAAATTCATCTCTTTAAGCCAATGTTTAATTTGGATTATTATGCCAATAAGATCTGGGTGAATAAAGATATGCAAAGTGCAAGACTGTAAATTAATGGGGGAAAAAAAAACCCTTTCCCATTTAAAACAACACACACACACAATCATATGCACACACACACATACACACACCCACACACCCAATTAAGATTCTTGGCCACGTAGATTTATAGCATTTATATATTTTGTTCCTCTGGGTGTGAAAAAGTGAAGGAGGGTGTCCCTAAGATTCTTCCTGTAAATTTTTTTCCTATATATGGAAAACATGTTTAAAATCCTGGTGGGAAGTAACTTCCTCCAGTTCAGAGAAATGGTTAGAGGGAATATTTGTTACTGTATACTAAGAAACACCAGTCTGGAAAATTCCCACTCGGTTCTTCCCCCGGTGCTTCATAGTTCTCCCATTGGCTCATGGGCTTGGGAAGCTTCATAGTCAATATTTTCCAAAAAGGATGCCAGTCTTTCTTGTCCCTTTTTTAAAGGGTGAAAGAGAACATCGAAGCAGTACCGAAAGAGAGTCTGAACTGAATTTGGGGTTTGGGCAATAAGCCTAGATGGGCAGCTGAAACCAGAATGTTGATGTCAGGAGGAGGGGAACTCAACCTAGTGGGATTTCCAAGACCCACTGTCAAAAGTTCTCAAGACAGTTATGCAGCATCCTCAATGCCGAAGTCGGTCCTTTGCAAAAGTACCCCCAAGCAAGAAAACCGTCAGGTCACAGATCATTCTGAAGAATCAACACAGTGTCACAGGCTGTTGACAGGTTGACATCTAAGGTCATGGACCAGTTTTCTTTGGGGGATGCCCTCATAGAGTGGAAGTGTTGCATCAGCAAAATGTCACCGAAAGCTGTCACCAAATACAGTAAACAAGGCAAAGCACTCCTTATTCATGCACCGATGGCCCAGTAAATCAAGAGTTCTCAATGACTGCTGAAGGCTGCAACAGAATATTGTATTAAAGAGGTTTCTCGGTCCAAACACAGATACATAAAGCCCTACAGAGAACGGCAATGCCAAGATCCTTCCTAACTGTGATGTTTGGCATTTTCCTCCACGTTTTTCTTTCTTGACCTAGTTTAGCCAAACTCCTATGGCAGTACTTGTCACTTACAAACACTGGAAAGCAGGTGTAAACAGAAAGTGACTAACAAGTGCGTGTAGCATGAAAAGACTGATACTCACTTCTGTAAGAAGGTAATCAACAATTAATGAATGGCAACAGTGGCCTTCAGCAAAGGCTCTGAGTCAGAAGCACCAGGGATCTAGTCCTAACTCTTTCACGGACTTGAACTATGACCCTAATGTCTCTGAGCCTCAGTTTCTTCACCTTTAAAATGGGAACAATAATAGTGCCTATTCTATGGGATGGTAGAAAGCACTAAATTAAATAAGTGAAGCACTTAGTACAGTGTCTGGTACATAGTAAGTTATGAAAATATGTTAGCTACTTTTATAATAATAATTATTATGATTATTATCATCATTACTAGTTATAATTAGAACATGCTTTTCAAAAGTGATCACTTTGAATTTAACTTGTATGCCATCTGATCTGGAAGTATAATGAGGGTATCCAATTCCTACTGATTTAGTGAGTCAAACAGAAAACCAAAACAAATTGAATCATTCAACTGGTGTATTTAGAATTGCTGATGATTATAGCATTCAAGAAAGTTAGTGAAATACATAAATTGCAATTGAACTGTTCTTGAAAATCCCCCAAATCAGTTTTCATTTGTCTAGCCTAATGGTGGGTAGGACTTGTTCATTTTTAAAATGTATATTTAGAACCTTCTAAAAAGGAAACCTTGTGGAATGTGAAAATGGAAGAGACAAAAGGTGTTAATACAAAGGGAATATGCCAAAATCATGTATGTTCCATCTTTGAAAACAAAAAAGAATGTATTGCATTCACATATCGCTTTATGCTTTTCATGGAACTATCACTAATTGCCATTTTATTTCATTGCATGCATGCGCGCGCATGCACACACACACACACACATGCACAAAGGGGAGGCTACAATGCACACAGTCAGCCTCTTTGTACCCAGCACTGCTTCTCTTCTAAGTCAGCTCTGCTGTTAGAGACCAGTGTGCAGATGGAGCTGAAGGTATGGTGTCAGCACCAAAGTTATGGGTCCACTCCAGAGATTTCATTCAAAGGATAATCTGATTAGCAAAATTTGAGACAGGCCTGTATATGCATTCTTTTATCATCTAATTCAAAAAACTCCACAACACAACTTGGATGAAATCGCCAGTATCAAAGGTCCTAATGTAGCATAATTTGTGTTGAGCATGCTGCATTGTGACAGTGCTATAAACCAGGGAGACAGTTTACTGACAATTCTGTGCTACCAGATACCAACTCAGGCCTCTGTCCAGCTTTACATTGTCAACTCTTGTGGAAACATGAGCAGTTACACAGCCTCAGAGGACGCTGAAGTCTGGATTGCAAAAGATGAGATGGACAGATTTCATATTTTCATTGCAGATTTTTTTTTGCCTTTCAAACTGCTGAGCATAATTTTTTTTAAAGGCAGGAAATGCAACTAGTGTTTGTTTCTAGCATGGCTTCTGTTTTGAGATTTCTTCTTTGTAGAAGAAATGTGTTGCCCAGCTGTCTAGAATCCCAATCAGGATATGGCTTCAGTATGAAATATATTAAAAGAATGATTTTAGCTGGTTATAAGCAGGAACGAAAATGAGCCTGGGCCTATTTTATCCAGTTTTTACTCACAGAGGGGGCATTCTGGTTCAGTCCAGTGGGGCCAATAGGAATAGATGAAGTAAAGCTAAGTTCTGGGGGGAGGGAGTTGCTTTATTTTTTATTTTTTGTAATTATTTTGTTTGTTTTTGTTTCTGTTTTTGCCTTGGAAAGAAGAGTAATTGTGAAACATAAAGGTTCATATTAGCGAGCGAACAGAGCTGAGGAGATTCTCAGTTATAAAGATTCTCAGAAATAAAAATCATGTGTCCACTGGCCAGAAGTATTGCAGTCAACACTTAAAAGGGTAGTTCAACCCAAATTAAACTGTTGGAGGACTTAATGCTTCTCAGTATTAATATATTTCCTATTTGCAACACACACACATTATTCAACAAATTATTAATTAAAACCTCCGTTTATGCACATCCTAGGGCTACTGTCGGTTAATGGGGTAAGAGACAAAGATGATTCCAGTCCTACCTTTTAAGATGTACAGAGATTGTTGCAGAGACAGATATTTCAACCAGTATTCTATCCTTAACCAACTTAAGATGTTTTAGTCTGCTTGTTTTCTAGAATATTTCCTATTTTTTATTTTTATTTTTTAAAATTCATAGTTTTTTAAAGAAAAGTTTCAGGTTTACCAAAAACCTGAATGGAAAATATAGAGTTCCCATATACCCCTTCAACCCCCTACGCCAACACACAATTCCCTATTTTTAACATTTTTTTATTAGTGTGGTACATTTGTTACAATTGATGAACCAATACTGATACATTGTTATTAACTAAAGTCTATAGTTTACATTAAGGTTCACTCTTAGTGTGGTATATTACATAGATTTGACAAATGTATACTGATATTTATCCACGATTATAATATCAAACAGAATAGTTACACAGCCCTAAAAATCCCCTGTGCTTATGGATTCATCCCCATCTCCCCCCAGATCCTTTGCTACCACTGATCTCTTACTGTCTCCATAGTTTTCCCTTTTCCAGAACATCATAGTTTTGGAATGATGCAGTACAAAGCCTTTTCAAGCTGGCTTCTTTCACTTAACAATATACATTTAAGAGTCCTCCAAGTCTTTTGGTAACTTGAGAGCTCATTTCTTTTTATCACTGAATAATATTCCATTATATGTATGGGCTACAGTTTTTTTTTTTACCCACTTACCTATTGATAGACATCTTGGCTGCTTTCAAGCTTTATCAATTATGAATAAAGTGGCTGGAAATATTTGTGCACAGGTTTTTGTGTGAACACAAGTTCTGAACTCATTTGGGTCCATATCAAGGAGCACGATTGCTGGATAGTATGGTATAAATATGTTTTCCTAAGAACCTACCAAACTCTTTGAAAGTTCCAGTACCATTCTGCATTTCAACCAGCAGTGGATGAGAATTCCTTGTTGCTCCACATCCTTGTCAGCATTTGCGGCTACCAGTGGCTTAGCTTTTGGCCATTCTAATAGGTGTTTAGTAGTATCACATTACTGTTTTTTATTTGTTTGTTTGTTTTTTTAAGATTTTATTTATTTATTTGACAGAGAGAGACACAACGAGAGAGGGAACACAAGCGGAGGGAGTGGGAGAGGGAGAAGCAGGCTTCCCGCAGAGCAGGGAGCCCGATGCGGGGCTCGATCCAAGGACCCTGGGACCATGACCTGAGCCAAAGGCAGATGCTTAATGACTGGGCCACCCCGGTGCCCCTCGCATTATTGTTTTAATTTGTAATTCTTTGATGACATATGTATTTCCTAATTTTTAATTCTCTTACTTATCTATTACATATTTTTCTAACATCTGTGATTTTGACCTTTATGTTTCAATCATCCATTTATTCAATTATTTATCCACATGCATTCAGTGTCTACTATATGCCAGTAACACTTTTCAAAGCTAGGCTATTTTTCTTTCTTTTATCCTTTTATTATTCTTTTTTCATTTTCAGTTTGTCATATTCCACTAATTATTTATTTCACATAAACTGTTAGTTTGTCCCTCTCTCTAGTCTATTAATCTCCAAGTAAACTGGCTATCTCTTACTTCTCTGGTGATAATTGTTTCATTTCTTCAACTTTCTCTTGTTCCCTTCAAAACTTCCATCATTATAGATTCATAATACATACAGCACAGAGTCGGTATTGCTAAAGATGAAACTACTGAAAAAAATGAAGTGAAGAAATCACTTACCTTGGTTCACAATAAATCTTAACTTCTGTATTGTTGCCAGATTGCCACTAACTCGGTATATTCCATCAACATCTAGACCTGAAAATAAAAGGGCATGTTTTATATTTGCTCATAAAGGAACTGAGATGGTAAAAGAAAAAAAATTAAATGTGGGAAGGAAGGTAATAGTAAATCAACGCCAAATATCCCTTTCTCATAGAGAAGACAAATTTCTATGTTCTAAACCAAGCAATCTTCAATAGTTTAATTTCAACAAACTAATCATAAAGTTCAGTCATAGTCAATCATCAACAAATTTGAATCTAGTTTAATCATAGAAGAGTAATAGGTAGCATTGGATTTCACACTATAGTTAAGATTTAGTCCCAACACAGGAATTAAACTGGTGGTAGGTAGGAGAAAAACCTTCACTTATATATTATTGCCCCTTTCTGGACAGAAAACAACCCAAGGCATTTGTGGGCTCTCCCTTCCTTCCTACTTTCCTCCTTCCCTCCTTCCTTTCCTTTCTTATTCTATTCTATTCTATTCTATTCTATTCTATTCTATTCTATTCTATTCTATTCTATTCTATTCTATTCCATCCTGCCCTGTCCTGTTTCATCCCATTCCATTCAATTCCATTCTCTTTTTTCTTGTAATCCTATAACATAGCATGCATTGGTCTAATTATTTTAAACTACAGAAGAAAATTCTATTCCCCAGATGTATAAATAGTTTGATAATCTCTAGCATATTACAGGTAATGGGGGTACTCTCTTATGGAGGGATAATAAAGAAAAAGGTCTTCGACAAAATGCTGAAATTAGTTTCAGAGTATTTTAAAACTGGTCATCTATAATTCAAAATAACCTATCCTGGCAGTGGATTTGGATGATCAACCACTTGTTTTCCACACATCTATTTATAGCATCTAGTTATTTCCATGACCAAGTTATTGAAAATTGAGGAAACAGGAAAATAGAAAGAGAAACACTTACTGAAACACTATTATTGTCCCTAAGGAATGTGGATAACATAATTTTAATGTCAAGAGTGTATATTCCTTGATGTGTCCAGGCCCTCAGAGAGGCCAGGGATGAGGTTACCACCCAACTGTCTCAACTATTTATGGAAATGGCATAGCACCAAGATTAAACATTGTAATTCACAATCATATGTATTAAATGAGTTGGTAGAAATTATTGTCATAATATAACAGAATAAGGGCTTTGTAAAGCTCTTTATAGTAGGAACAGTTCTGCCATTGTGCAAAATATTTCATCAATAGTTCAGGGTAGAATAACATAACTTGCAACACTGGCATTGATGATATAATTCAAAATAATCATTCACTATTTTTTAATACTTTATTTTTTTAGAGCAGTTTTAGTTTATAGCAAAATTGAAGGGAAGGTACAGAGATTTCCCATATGCTTCCTGTCCCTCATAGATGTATAGCCTCCTCCATTATCAGCACCCCCCCCACTAGGGTGATACATTTTTACAATTGAGGAACCTACATTGATACATTATAATCAATGTTTATTGTTGCATTATGGCTCATTTTGGTGGTGTACATTCTATGGGTGTGGACAAATACATAATGACACGTATCCAATTATAGAGTGATACAAAGTATTTTCCCTTCCCTATAAATCCTCTCTGCCCTACTATTCATCTCCATGATTTTTAACCTTCCATGTGATAAACTATGGAACAATTTGGAATAATATCAATAAAATGGAATAGTTGTTAGCAAACGTATTAATTCGTTTGAGTTTTGTAGTTCTAGAATAATCTAATAATAAATCACTGTCTCTGTCCCTTCATGAGAATTATGAATTTGTGAGGAATTAAGATGAGGTTGGACACCTATTAGTGTGTATGAGTGTCTAAGACACATCATATATTTATAAAAATCACATATATTATTTCATCCTAATGCACAAAATAGCTACATTAATGAAAAGTTACTCCAGTGTGTTTGCTTTTAAGTACAATGTGCATTTGACAACTGAAATGTAACAATAATCCTAATTAAAATTTTTCTAATAGGTAACTCCTAGGTTTAGTATGTGACCATTTTGGTCTTCAGCATATACACTTATACCCAGAACTTTATAATTTATTACACATTACTTTTCTTGCTTTGTCATTAGCTAGTGTTTGGTACCTAGATTTACCCTAAAAGTTTTAAATAATATGATAGATTTTAGAAATATTAAAACTTCCAAGTAAGTATGTCCCTTTCAAAATATTTCCTCTTGCAGTTATATATAATTTTTTCTGAACATGTAGCTATTAGGGAAAATATTTTGGAATTCTTTAAAATCACCTTCAGTGGCTCCATATTATCTGTAGAAAAATTTTTCTGGTGGCAAGTTTGGGGCCTTTGGTAATAGATTTGTAATTGGAACTAGATAAAGGTCATTCAAAACCATGATTGGTGAATAATGTCAGCCTGCTTGCCACCACAGACAAAGTTTCACCAAATGAAAGTTGTCTGGTGTTTTCCCATGAGTTACCAGTTTCTTTGAAAGAATGTGAGAAAAAGGATATTTTAGTAAATAGAAACATTGATGCATATGCAGACCTACATTCTCTAAGTGAGAAATCTTAATATGATTTTTTTAGAATTGGTTAAATTAGCCCTGTTTAAAATAATGATTCAAGGTGAAATGTTGTTTAAAATCTATTACAATACAAACAAGAAAATTCGCTATACGATTCTTTTTAAAATCAATTTTTGTTTTGCTAATTAGTTGGACCCTTATCAGAGGTCAATAGTAAATGATGTTACTTGAATGTCAATGAATTTTTATTGCAAATAAGGACTTTACTTAAGTTTTACTTTATATGCATAACTCTTTATTCAAAAGGTACAAAATCAAGCACATTTCTGTTTTGAAGCTGGGACTCTTTCTTTTCTAATTATTTTATATGTTATTGTAAATGCATATGTTGTCTAGAGTTGTAAACTGAATTTCAATTACTGAAATTACCCAGGATCCAAAACTTTCTTTTCCTTTTCTAGAAATTTAAAGTTACAACATAAGAAGTACCCCCCCACACACACACACACTTGGTGTTTCATAAATTTTCAGTAGAAGTTTTTTCTTTGTCTTTTTTTTTTAAGTTGGGTAATCAAAAACATTTGAAAGAGCAGTATGGGTTGGATATATTATGCTTGAGCAATTGGAAAACACTATACTGTTTAAACAAAGCAGCCTCATCCTAAATTAATAACCCAATTTTCTTCTGGGATAAAAGGAGGGAGGGCTGGGGATGGAGACAGGGAGTGTAACTCAGACCAGTGCCACCACTGTGGTTATAGAACTAAGTCACAGCAGAGAAACTGCTTTGTGGCTTAAGATAGAAACCAGAAAGTAAGAGGGAGTAAAGCAAAACATATTAGATGCAATTTGAATCTAACTTGACACAACTTCCAAGCCCTTTGGATTCAGAGATATCAACACCATATATCTTGTGAAGGGTAACAGTCTCTGGCATTAGTGCTCCTGCTTCAAATGGCTTATGCTGCCCTACTATCATACTTTCTAAATTACATAAATAGAGTGAAAATGACAAAGTACATATTAAAAAGGAGGGCATGACATTTTGCCAAATAATCTGGAACATATCCGTGAATTTTAGCAGTGATAAATTATATCGGTACAGTCTTGAAGTTGATTAGTCTTCCCCCGAATGCCTCACAGAGTGGCAAACCCAAAGTCCTAGGAATTATGACCCAAATTGCAACGGTTCACGTGCCATCCTCTTTTTGCTCCAAGAACTTTGAAAGTCATGCCAAACCAAACCAATGTAAATTGGTGGATTTGGACATCCTTTTCATGACCACATTATCCTTGCTGAATTGGAAACTACTTATTTTGGAAATATAATTAGACCTCTTAAGATTTTTAAATGTGCAATGTCTTCAAGGTACCCATGCTGTGCTTTGGTGAAGTTCGGAGAAAAATCACTTTGAAAGGTACTTCTTTCAAGAAAATACCATAACTGGATGCTGACAAGAACTCTTCTTGTTATGCTAAAAATACTTTGGGAACACGGTGACACTAAGTCATTTTCATTTTTTTTTAAAACAAACTGGCATTAGTGGCAGTAATGAAAAATTCTCTGAAGAAATCCATGTTCACTGAAAGGTCATTTATTTGTTCATCATCAGCTGACCGTTTCAAAGTAGTGTTTACCATTGACAGAAATCACTGGGTGTTGCTATAGGAGACTTTCAGAAGTCTCTCTCCGCTAGCCCCCACCTTTTCTTCTGAAGAAGTTAGACTAGGATAGACACACAATTAGGAGTTATTAGACCAAATGGTGGTCTAAACCCAGTGGAAAGAATGCAGCTGTCATGAGTAATTCCCACTATAAATCTTAGACACTTTCCAAAAAGAAATCTAAGAGACCAGCACTGTTTCCACAGTTGACTGGCTTATCTGCCAAAATACAGGCAGTTTTGAACAATGCAGATGAGCCTGTTAAAAATAGTTGCAAACGGTAGATTAGGTAGCATTCTTGGTAGCTTGAATGATGGGCAAACCACGAAGATGTAGAATTTGAGCTTGGTTGAGATGTGTGCCCCAAAAGCTTGCTTGTTTTTCTGGAACATAACAAAATGCATCTGAAACCCTGGAGTCTGAATTGTGGGCTGGGAATTTTGCGCAAACAGCCCCTCTCCTGAGATTTATGGCACTTCCTAATTCCTAGGAGGCCAGAGCTACCGCAAGAAGAGTCATTCTCGCAATTCTTTGGTCTTCTGGCTTTTCCCTCTGGCAAAAACCAGTGAGCATGGGAACACCCACAATGCCCCCAAAGAGCTGCACGTTTCTTTCTTGGTCCTTCTGAAGGTCCTGCTTGAGTTTAGAGCTGAACATGAGGGGAAGTTAATGTGCCTTTCAGACCTATTCCTCCTCCCCTAAATTGAGTCTCTCCAACTTTTTATTGCCAACTTATTTGTTTTCACACTTTAAATCCAATGACTGAGAGAATAGGATATAATCTGAAACTCTAAATTTAATTCCTACTCTGTCTCAATGGCTGGTATTTATGCTGCATCTATTTGCTGGCTTTATTTA